ACAGTAATATAGACCCCCACAAAGTTTACAAGGGTTCTTTACAAACATGCACAAAAACTATCATATATATGTCTTTGGTTGATGAGTGCCAAGAGAACAAAGAAGGGAAGAAATTGTCAAAGCGTTAAAACACGCCAACGCCAGGGAACGGCTGGCATCGTCCGGGCGTAAAAACACGCCCGCGCCAGTCAAAGAGTTAACAAGCCCTTGCTCCCTTGCTGAGCTGGGGACCATCAAGTGCCCAAAAATTCTGATTTAAATTGCTCATAACTGGCTAATTTGGAACTAATGGCTTCTAACCATTGCTTAGACACTGAACCTGTTATGGATCTCTTTGCTACTATCAACCAATGTTGCGGCGGGATTCCTCAAAATTGCAAAAACTCTTCAAGCTGCCCAATATGTAACTGGGGGTTCATACCTTTGCTTTCGTCGAAGGTTGGCAGGGCGTACTCGGTGCTGCTTAGCTTGCCAGAGAATGCAAAAGCGGCCAAAATCCCGGGCTGAGTTTCTAGCCCTGGACTGATGTTTCCTTCTGGTCGTGAAGTACCTGGAATTTCTACACCCTTACCTATGGAGTGTTCCACCGTGGGGGGTGTGGCCTTGGACTGTTGTTCCACCTTTTGTTTTAAACTTACTATTTCTTTTTCCAGTTGTTTCAATTCATGTTGTACCTTCAATTGGTCCCTTTCTGCCCTTTGATCAATCTGCTTACTCTTCTCCCCTAGTCGCCTTGAAAAAGCATCGGCGCTTTCATCAAATTTTTGTTGGACACCTGTATTGAATTTTAACAACTCATGATTTATTTCTTCAACCTTGTTCACCCTTTCTTGAAGTGTGCCCACATTATCTTCTATCACAATGATGGTACTATTAATTTCAGCATTACCAATATCTACTCTTTCTCGGATTTCTCTAACATTCTGTTTTACCTTTGACATTTCTGATTCCTGATAATCAGCCAGTTGTTGGATTTTGGAATTCCGGTCCTCTCTTTCTTTTCCGAATTCTTGTTTCACTCCTACTAATTCTCTTTCTAAAGTATTTTCACACTGTTTAACTTCCTTTCCAACTCTACCAATTTCCTTACTGATCTTCTCAACCTCCTTATCCAATTTCCCTGATAATTCTTGTCTTAAGGCCTCATTGGCCTGACTGCACTTTAATATGGCCTGATCTATGCCCTTCTGTAATTCGTCCTTTAACAGTCTCTGCCCCTCTTTCAATTCCTCAGCCAGATTTGCCTGTCCAAATTTTATTTCTGCGAATTGCCGTTTCTGTTCCTTTATCTCCTGAACTAGTTGATTTGTATTTTCTTGAGCCCGTTTTTGTGTTTCCTGAGCCTGATCTGAATTTGATATTAACTGCTGTATCATGGCCATCATACTTTTCATTTGGGAATTTTGGTTATCACTATCGCTAGTACCCTCTTTATCCGGACTGTTTGCAGGTGGATCAGGGTTTTCCATTGCTGGGACATTCTGACTAAACTGTGTCTCTCTTTCTTCCCCCACTAACTCTATTTCCCCCCTTTCTGCTTCCCACTCTTCTAAATCTGGGGATTTTTCCCGGGAGCCTAAATCCATTTCCTCAGACATTGCTTCGACAGTTCTGCTTCTCAGCCTTTTCTGGAACATTTTTAATAAGTTTGATTTCTGCTACTTACAATTGCAGTGATGTATTGTTTAAACTACTTGCACTTCACCAGTGATGTTTCTTCGCTATGTAGTCTGCGATGTCACGGGTTGGTGTGCCCTAGGTGTCACCTCCTTATGTAGTCTCGCGCCACGCGTTGGGCAGCCATCTGCAACCGTCCCATCGTGTCCAGTTGCATCCTTCCCGTCACCGCTGCTGCTTCCTCTTCTTTTAGTCACTCCCATTCCCCCCTTACCACTTTGGTTTTATCTCAGGGTAGGTTTGGGCGCCAGTGGTGGGTAGGAAACCTAGGAGTTCCTGGTAGGGCACGAGAATCCTCTCAGGGAGTTGCACGGGTTACATTCGGGGTGACCCTATTTACTAAATGCCAGACTAACTCGAATGGTGGTTACTTTTATTTATTCACTCTTACACTTGATTACACGTATAGGGGGTTGCTAAACTGCTATAACCCACTTTTTCGGATGTTGTTTTCTTTATTCAATTCTCAGAGTACATCCGGACACGTCTAGACTGTTCCGAGGTCTGACTTTTGTGTGTCTGTGTTGCGTCAGCTTCGCCAAAGCGTGGTGAAGCCAACCCACGCAAATTTCATTACACAGCTTCACTACTTGTGTACTGCTTGCTGACTGGTTGAAACGAACTGATTATTTTGAATTTGACCAATAAGGTCTTGACTTACTTGCCCTTAAAGACAAAGGCAACCAAAGCTCTTGGGATTCCCACTGACCTAAAGTGGTGAAGTCCCTTAGCTTATTGCGCACAAGTTATGGCATGCATTCCTGGGCAAAAGGGGTCCTAAATGGGTTACCTCAGGGCAGTCCTAAACTCTGTTCGGCTTCAAAACAATACAAAGGAAGAAATTAATCTTGCATGCTAAGCAGGGATCACAGAAAGGGCAAGGTGTCTGAATAAAATGTTTCACTTTTCTAGTGATCATAATACTTCTCTGGCTATCAGATTTTCAAATATTTTTTGACCTCTAAAAATACGTACTAATTTCATTACTCATAACTATCAAAAATTGCTGGTGTACAGGGCACTGTGAAATGAACCTCGCACATTCTGTCCACTGATCTAATCCTTTCAGCCATACTAGGCCCTGGGGTTTACTCAGCCTCTAACATAAATGAGTACCAGGAATTAATTAAATAATTTTCCTGGGGAGTAAAGTGCGGCCGGCACATAAGGCTGACAACCTTACCGCCACCTGTGAGCTGACTGTCTAGATAATGTGGGACCCTCAACATCTCACAACCCTATGGGCCTTCACAGCTTGGTACAGGGATAGCTTTACTTACTTACTTTTACTTCTTGATTTATAATTTTGTGAAACATCACACATTTCCTTGTCAACTACAAAAGCTGTAAAAAATTAGACAAGTCCCTGGATCTGGTTCAGTGCTATGATCACATTCCATGCTTTCTATTCCCTGTATATTTGATAAAGTTTTTTCATGTCAGTACTTGAAATATAAACGTGAAGAGTTATGCTAAAATTATACCTCACCTTAAAATTCCTTTCTTGGCTGCATCTGAGAAACTCCGGACATCGGCATAATCATTACTGAGTGGTCCAGTGGGTGCACTTATGATACGTCCAGCTGGCAGGTCACATGGAAACACTGTCACTTCAGAGTTCACAGCTTTATCAATCTAAAGAGACATATCATAAGTTCCAAAATAAAGCAGGTGATTTGATTAATCAAATGAATCCCATGAAGGGGAAGAAAAGGGGTCTGCATGCAGGCATGTATGTGCATATGCGTGCGTGCATACACATGCAGAACAAAACCTCCACAGAGAGAAGTATAAAAATGATTTAAATAATGGGATAATTTGTAGACCAGGAAATCAATTCTTAAATGAATATCCATAAATTATGCCTTCTTTCCTTTTCTGATTTGAAAATGAATGAATACAATATATTTTTCCACCCACTTCTTCCCAACTATGTAGTGAGCAACATGTAACAGTCACTGTACCATATTATCTGTGCATGTTTCTGGGTGAGGATTTAAGAAAATGACAACAATGAAAATCACTGTCTTCAGGGATGTCACACAGTGTAGCCTGATAGATGATATTCTATTTAAGCATCCTGTTGCATCCTGATGTCGGAAGCAGCGTCATCAGCAGCGACTTGAAGCACAGAGCAAATGATGCTCGATATGGTTCAAGTTCGTATAGCAACAGGCGTGACCAGAGTGGTTTGAACGGCTGTTGTACTGCGATGTGGAAAGCAAATGGAAAAACTACCACATTATCACTTTTCCTGGATAGTCTCTTTCCAAAAACAGAAGATCGCATTAAGTGGAGAAACTGTTTTGGAAGAGACTGTGGACCTGTCGTCTGACAGATTACTGATGATGATGATGTTGATTAATAAATCATCTGCACACGTTAGCAAATATCATGTTCATGTGCAATACATAATTTTGACATACGGTGCAACAAATTCAGCAAGACATAAAGACACATGTTGATGACCATATACAGCTGAAACATGTAGCGAGGATGAATGGTGACTAGACAATAAGTTGCATTTAAGACGGAAGTATATGCGTGCCTGATAGATATTTATCAATGTTTAGGAGAAATATTCTGCCTCAATGCTCAGGGTAGAAGAGTAAGCCAAGCATGGAAAGAGTGGTCGGGATACAGGGGAAGTGAGCACTCAGACTGGAGTCCTGGGCTCATGACCCTCTCCCTATATTCATACCACATTTTCCATGCTCGGCCTTACTCTTCTATCCTGAAGACGAAGACTGCAACTTCCTCTGACGTGTCCGTACATATTTATCAGACTGTGAAGCATCCAAGCACAGAAGAAGGAAACCTTCATGGACACTCCCACAAGAACCTCAAATCTCACACCGCAGGAAAAATTAACAGTTACTTGCAAATCACAGACAAGTACTTGTGTTGTCAACTTTTGGCAATTTTAAGAATAAATGACGTCACAAAAGTCATACAAATAACCAAAGGGATTCTGGAATCCTATAGAGAATAAAATGGCTTCATGCCTACAGGATTAGTATTGCCTGAATTTGTGTACCACAGAATGGGGCATAATCCTCAAGAAAAGAAAAAGATTTCTGACAGAATATCACGTGGGAGTATAAGCTGACAGAGAAAGAGTACATGAATAAATGAGTTACATGATTCAGGTTTATAAAAATACTGTTGTTCTCATTACGGCTCTAGAGCCCTTTGTTGGGCCTTGGTGACTTTTTCAGTTTCTTGATCTTATACACAGATGGTAAGACTCCTTACACGATGGATCAGTCCGCTGCAAGGCCACCACCTACACAGAACAACACAAAAACAGAAGAAACGTACACAATCCTGACATTCATGCCTTGAGTGGGATTCGAACTCACGAACTCAGCAATCGAGTGAAAGACAATAGTTCACGTCTTAGACTAAACAGCCACTATGATCTGCATAAAGATACTGTACACTGAATGAAATGAGTGACATATTTTGTTTATAGAAGGAAACACTTTCTACCATTACTTCCATGTTGTGCCCATAATGAAGGATACCCATGAAACCAGAAAGAGCAGTGGAGCTTGTGTGAGAAAAGTACTTCCTGTGACTATTTCATACCTTTACCAAATAATACAGAAAAATGGTATTATATGGTCAACAACTGAAGGTGAGGAAACGCTACTCATAGACAGGAGCAACACTATTTACCTTCGCTGATGAGACGAAATACTCTTTAAATAGCTCATCATAGTTAGGTGCCTCTAGATCTGAGGTAACAATCACTATTATCCCATCGTATGCCAAACTCTTCAAATCCTTTTCTATTTTCAGAGCACATGGCAATCTGAAAGTACAATCCAAAATAATTTCCAAAGTAATAACATATATTTTCACTGAATTTCCAGGGAAAAAATTATTCATTTGTAGGATTCCTAGTTTAATTGATTGATTTTTGGGGTTAGCTTATTTTAAGGCACTATCACCTGCTAAGAGTAACTCAGGGAAACCACAAAACAAAATTCCACCAGGGTAGTTGGTCTCCAGGCAAAGATTTAAACTGTGGACCTCCTGAATATGCAGCAGGAACAGTAATCACTTAACGCTATCTCGTATCCTTAGGCTGATCAATAATGAAAATGTTAAGCAATGATCTGAGGTCCTCACAGTGGTGGCTATACTCCAAGAGACAGAAACCTTCATTATGTAAAGATCTTACAGTAGGGGTTTGAACACTAAAGAAAATTGTCTCATTCTGGTCCGCTGCACTATTACGTTAGAAAGTTAATTTAAAGCTGGTTCGATGTTCACTTTCAATTGTGTTATTCACAGATGTATGTTTCGTATTATTGTCATAAGTTTTAGTTATGACGGCACTCGCTGTTGTATAAAAACATAAACTTGCAGAATAATTGAGTATGCCAATAGGCTATACGCAGCACAGGAATTATCACTTTTTTCCACAGTAAATTTCTTATATCTGGATTAAAATCATGATTAACTATTTAAATTTTAATTCACATTGTAGTAAGTTGTTGCTGGTTGTCAATTCTTCCCGTGGATGGGAGTCGTCATTCTTGGTGGTATGTGGGATTATACGCGTTATGATGTTACATGTGTGCCATGTCCTTTGTACAAAGGTTCAAGCCCCGATGAGGTCATTGGATTTTTTCAATTTACCTAATCCTTCCAGCCCCACTATGGCCCTGGGGTTGACCCAGCCTCTAACAGAAATGAGTACCAGGAATATTCTTGTGAGTAAAGAGCGACCGGGGCATAGGGCTGACAACCGTGCCGCCATCTATGAGCCGACTGTCTAGAAAATGTGGGAACCTCAACATCTCACAACCCTATGGGCCTCCACGGCCTGTTACAGGGATAGCTTTACTTTTTTTACTTACTTTTAACATTTTTTACTGATGATTCAATAATGCGTTTAAAAGCATGAGAAGAGAACAGAGCTGATACTACATGGCCAGGAAGCCAGCCAGCTAGCCTGCCTGCCTGACAGCATCACCAACAGAACAATGGCCTTGGTCAACTTCAGGCTTTTTTTTAATCATTATCAGAAAGTCTCCTAGAAAATTATCTGTGCAGAGAACTTGCAGTATCTCCAATTATTCTGTGAGAAATGTTTACATGTATTCTGTGCTTTGAGACTACCATGTTAGTGCAGTGAATTGGTGAAGATTAATGTGTAATGACAAATACACAAGTAAAAGGCAGTCTCTCTGAGGGACAAACATATGCCCTTAATGGAAGAGCAGACTTTCCTTTTCAGAATGCTGGATTTGGGCCAACTGTAAAGAAGTCAGTGAGGAGATTTTTAGAATAAGTTTATAAACACGCTGACTATGCACAACTATTGCTGATTTTAGATAACTTCACTGTTTCCAGATCTAATATGAGCCACTCTAACCAAACAAACGCTGTAATCTTGTCACGAAATCTGAGTTTTATGTAAGGTTATTAGTCTTACCATAAACCATTCTGGCTTACCTGATGCACACAGACACCGTACATAGAAACACGTCTACAGGATTTGTATGAAACCGTGAAAATTAAAAATACAGTAAAGAAGAAAACCTTTGAGGTTAAGACTGACAATTTTGATACACTGGAAATGCACACTATCAGAAGTTTTACACAATCCTAGATCATTGTTATAGTTGTTAATTTCAGAAATTCTGCTGACCTCTACGTACACATGCAGGAATATAAAAGGAAGGGCACATTATATGTTCTCAAATTTCCTTGGTTTGTACGTTGTAATGATGAATTATTAACTATCTTGAATTTGATATATCCATTTAATGCTAACACAGCTTCTCCCATATTTGCAGTTACCTTTTGGAGCCAACTGAGAATAGCTTGCATAAGAAACAAAAGAGAATAAAGGTAAGGTAAGGTAAAGTTGTCCCCATGCTTAACTAATTAAGCACTATGCTATGATTACGTATGGGGGAGTGGATGTATAGATCCACATTTTCTCGACTTCGGCACTAGCTGGAGGTGAGTGACAAAAGAGAATATTAATTATAAAAGACATTTGTTTGTGAACAGAAATATGAAATACAATGTGATTGGCAAATTAGTAATGCATTGACAAATGGCCCATTATCACACAGCCCGACAAAATACACTAGCATAGATCATATGGTTGTGATGTTTTGTTAATGGCTCTTTTTGGCATCTGCCATTCTTCTCTGTATTCATGCCTTCAAATTTAGGGTAATTTATACCTTCAAAAAGAAAGTAAAAGGGTAAAGTTGTCCCTGTGCTTAACTAAGTAAGCACTATGCTGTGAAGATGTATGGGGGACTGGATGTATAGATCCACACTTTCTTGACCTCAGCATTAGTTGGAGGCAAGTGGTAATTTTCATGCCCCAGCCATTTTACCGCCGTGAAAGGACCCCCAGTACTCACTGTACAGGAGGTTGGGTAGACCCCAGAGCCAGTCTGGATGAAATGGAGAACTGAAAATTCTTGACCCTACTGGGACCTGAACTTTGACCTCTTGGTCGTCCGGCCTGTAGCCAGTTGCTATACCGACTATGCTATCAACTAGAAAATGGTGCACAATATAATTATATGGGAAAACATTATAAACTTTATAAACCACAGACCTGAACATGAGACACTTTAAAAATCAACCTGCTCTGTTCATGTCCACAACACTGGAATTCCTGTTCATTTCTGTAGTGGTCAGCTAGTTCGATATCTAGAACTACAGGGGATGGACAAAAATATGGAAAAACCTAGTGAAATGCATGCCTGAATTGAAGTGTTTATTTTAGCGATGTTTGTAGGTGACGCTGTCGTATCTGCCCAATACCACTACCAGTACAACCTCCACAATATGTTGCAAGCTTCACTGGTTGTTGAGACAGTGTTCTGTGCAGTTTTTAGTGCATCATGTCAGAGCTAACAGAATTCAAACATGGGCAAATTGTTGGGGCCCGTATGGTGAGTGCTTCTGTATCCAAGGTAGCCGTGGTTTTTGGAGTTTTGCGAGGCACAGTATCCAAGATTATGACTGCATACAGGAGGACTGGAAAAACCGCATCTGATAAACACCAGCGTGGACAGAAATGTGTGTTGAGTGATTGAGACAGATGAACATTGCGTAGGATTGACGAAAAATAAGAATTTGGTAGGATGAGTCCACTTCACACTGTTTCCGACTTCTGGCTGAGTTTACGTCTTGAGAACGACATCCCAAGTTTATGATCCAAATTGTATGCTGCTAAGAGGGAAACATGGTGAGGGTTCGAGCATGGTATTCTGTCAGACCCATCATTACCCTGCAAGGTCAAGTCACTGCCAACGACTGTGTGACCATTTTAGGCAACCAGGTCCGTCCCATGGTGCAAACTTTGTTCCCCAATGGTGATGCCGTTTACCAAAACAACAATGCCTGTGTTCACACAGCTCACATCGTCCAGGACTGGCTTTCTGAGCACGAGGATGAAGTGTCACGTCTGCCACGGCCCCCACAATCGCCATATATCAATATTATTGAGCCTATGTGGTCTGTTTTGGAGAGCAATCTGTGTGTGCGCTATCCACCTCCATCATCGATAACGGAACTTGCCAATGTTTTGCAGGAAGAATGGTACAAGACTCCCTTGCAAATCATACAGGACCTCTATTTATCCATTCCAAGGAGTCTGCAAGCAGTTCTGCAAGCCGGAGTTTGTCCTACACCATATTAGTCACAGTAATGTGTTTTTTGTTGGGTGTTACCATATTTTTGTCCATCACCTATAGATGTGAAGTATATCTAAATACCTAAAATAATAATAAAAAAGTTAAATAACAATGATTTACTAATAAAGACACTTCTTAAGTTTGAATGTAAAGAATGCCTCTATCCCATGGAACTTGGAGAAAATGTCCTAATATCCCAAAATATGCAATGGAATTTAATTATAAATATGACCAAATTGTGACTCATAACCCTATCATAACATGAACTTTAAAAGCGAAATTTAACTAGAGAAGCTTCTACGGATGTGCACACAGGATAAATAGAAACAGTTGATATAAGAGATATTCTACAACATCAAATTTCTGCACTCTATCACGATAATTTGGTAAAGATATACAAGGCTTATGTGCGAACATGTAATAACCACTGCGAGTGTCCTTGAGGAATTGTTGGAATGAAATGAAATATCCATTAGCAGTTAACTGGAAAACGTGTCTACGATAAGATAAAAAGGTTAAACCTTGGACTTGGGACACTTTGCGTAGTATTTAATGCAGAAGACAGTTTATCTATACAAATGGCTATTGCAAGTCTAGGGACAAAAATATTGTTAACAAAACTTTTAGACAAACACTATTTCAGTAATACCAATTTTAAAATTGTGTATAATACCTAGAAGTACCAGCACAAGAACCAGCCGCCATGAAATCAACTTCAGTACTCTCTCTGGTATTGTCTATTACTCGTTGCTGCTCGTTGCTAACTCTACGGTTTCCTGCGTTCGAGGGTAACCAACTTGCAAACTACAAATGACCCTTTAATGGGGGAATTTACATGCAGCCTCGGTCGGTATAATTCGCTTGGGGACTAAAGTCACGGAGTTTACTTATATGCAGCGGATAGATTAAGCAAATATATTAATATAGCAAATAAAACAAACTGCAATAGTCAGTTTAAAGCTTTTACTTTAAGAACAAGAGGTACACGATTCGCAAGAGGTTTTGAGACAAATAATGTCTCGTGAGCAGAACAAAGAAGAAGGCAATGACATAAATGCATCGGTACCTCTAATTAGTCAATAAATTCCCCTAAAATCAGAGTACTGGGAAGTATATGTGGAAATAGTAGACAAAAGCAACAGTAATCTCGTACTTCGCATTCCAACATTCGGCAAACATTATTAGGTCGATCAGATCAACGATAATGAAATGGTCGAGGCATGTAGAACACTTGAGGAAACAAGAAATATATACACAATTTTAGTCGGAAAACCTGGTCGGAAGAGACCTCTTGGTAGATGTCAAGATAAGGTCAAAATGAATCTTCAAGTAATAGGGTATGAGGGTGATTGAGGACAGGATCCAGTAGCGGGATTTTGTGATCACGTCAAATCTCTTGTTATTATAAAATGCTGGGACTTTCTTGTCTAGATGAGCAATTGTTAGCATCTCAAGCAGGACCCTTCTTCAAGAAGTTAATTATAAACAAGATTGACGCAAAACTCTGCCTTCTACAGGCTTGTAAAAGACGAGTATTTCTGAATCTGGTATTACTTCTGCAGGAAAACAAATTTCTGTATTATGTTACCCTGCAATATGCGCAATTATTCAAAATAAGAAAGAAAGACACAATCACTGAACAGCTGAAGTAACTGCAAAATGAGCGAAAGCAGCGAATGATTCTATATTATATGTTTATGTTTTGAGCTTACCTTATGCCCGACATGCTTACAATAAAATTAAGCTACAGAAATCATACTATACAACTATATTTATCAAGCGTAACTGCTTATATATATATTTCCGAGAGAATTGGATTTGTGATGCAACTGATAAAAGTCACGTGACAAACGCAAGTTGACCTTCAGAACCCAGGCATCATTCTCTACAACCAAAACGTAGTAACAAGCAATGCCGCTCTGTATTTAGCATACAGGCTCTATACCATAGGTATATAGTAAACAGAATTAAGTTGTGTACAAGAGGACCTAGAGTTCTTGTAGTACACGAGTTCAGAAATTCAGAAATGAAACTTAAAACTGTGGCGTATCAATAATTTAACTCAGAGAGGTAAGAGAGTAAGAAAATAGACGACACAATTTTTCATTGCGCAACTAAAAATATCCGTCGAGACGATAATGTATGTGGTGGGCTTTTCACTAGAAGATTCTGTATTTACATAAGGTTAAATACAGTCCGAGGTGGCTGGCATGGCGGTAACACTCTAGATTTGCATTCGGGAGGTGCTCAGTTCGAATTTCAGCTGTGAGAGTGGCTATTTTGACTGATGTTTTACGTGGTCTGTCCAGTCCAGCCAGGCAAAAGACAAGACAGTACGACCGTTTCCTTCCATATTCCTTTCCAGTTCATCAGTCATCCTACCGTTATTACAGGATGTCCCAGGAAGAAAGGTTAATACTCTGCTAGGTCATAGTATCGGTCATTCTAAGCAAGAAAGTGTATACGTGCATGTGTCCTATTCCAAATGGTTTCCGAGACAGAGCTATGGATGTTACCGCCCGCATAAAGGAACGTCAAGATGTACTGAGGGTAGCAACACGCCATGCTCTCACACGAGTTGCACAGTGCATTGATGTTGACGGTGGAATTTTCGAAAATGCTGTATACTCGGTAAACTGTACCAATTTTGTCGCTTGAAAATAAATACAGGTGATAGAAACAGTATGTAATATGTCTTTATTATCAACAATTTTGGAACTGTACAGTGAAATATCTCTACTTCGGTAACCGTTCGGAATAGGACACACGTACATATAGATTTTACTTAGAATGACTGAGACTATGAACTCCTAGAATACTGACCTTTCTTCCTTCGATATTCTGTATAGTCTAGCTAGTGACAGTGTCATAAAATAAACAAGTCAGATATAATATTTGTTTTTCCGAGGGCTCCAGATGTTTCAGAACTAGGTCAGTTCAACCTATATATTCTCCTTCAAAACATGTTCCCTACTTCACTTATTCATACCCTTGGTATCATTGGAGCTGACAGATAAGTTTCATGCTCGGTTGAATTTACTTCTGGAGAAATAATTTGTATCGCTATTTAAACATAATAACCAAAAGTGGTTTGGGGCGCGGTAGCGTAGTTGGTTGAAGCACTATATTACAAGCCGGAAGGGCGCGGATTCAAGTCCCGATGAGACCATTGGATTTTTTTCAATTGATCTAATCCTTCCAGCCGCACTATGGCCCAGGGGTCGACTCAGCCTCTAACAGAAATGAGTACCAGGCATATTCTTGGGGGTAAAGGGCGGCCGGCGCCTAAGGCTGACAACCTTGCCGCCATCTACGAGCCAATTGTCTAGAAAATGTGGGAACATCAACTTCTCACAACTCTATGGGCCTCCACAACCTATTACAGGGATACCTTTACGTTTAAACCAAAAGTGGTTTAAACGAAAATTATTAATATACAATAAAAGGTAAAGTTATCCATGTGCTCAATGAATTAAGCACTACGCCAAGAAGGCGTTTGGGAGAGTGGATGTATACGAGTAGATTAGGTTTTCTGGACCTCGGTACTAGCTGGAGGTGAGTGGTCAGCTTCACGCTCCGACCGCTTTACTCCTGGGGAAATAGCCCCCGGTACCCATTGGATAGGAGGTTGGGGGAACCTCAGAGCTGGTCTGGACGACGTGGAGAAGAGAGAATTCTCGACTCTAACTCCGACGCCTCAGCCCTACATCCCGTTGCCAGTACCCGGCTCCTATTAATATAGAGCAAATATTTTATTATGCGTCTTTTGGACAAAGTACAAAAAGTTAATACTTGAAGACCTATAGAATTGTTACAACTTTCTGTCTATATGATTCATCGAAGCTACTTAACATATATCTATTGACGAATCTGTTGACACTGGAAACTTAGAACAGAAATTCGTCAGCGAATAATTTTTTATTTGTACGGATAAATACTAATACAATTTACGTTACTCAAATCGATATGTATCAAGAATGCCCCAAATCCCAGAGGACGGCATTCTTCATAGTCACCGACGTGAAAACCTCAAATCCTGCGAAATTTATCAGTCTGATTAAAATGGCTTATGGTACAAGTTGGTAGGTACAAATTCTGCTTAAAATCTATATTGATACAAGAAATATTTAACGAAATACGAGGGAACAAATTTTCTGATTGCGTATAGATTGGGGTCAGTATTAATGTTATCCTTGGAAAAACAGATACCTACCCGAGACGAACAAACATCAAGTCCAATGAGGTATGCAAGATCAAAATGAACGCATTCGGGAAATTATGTTCGCCATTTTGTGGAGTAGCCTAAAATCGCCATCTTTGTACCCTGTTTATTAAAACCAGTCCATTATTTAAATTTTTTTTCATTTCATGCATCCTTTTGTGTTATAATATACAACTTCTTTATTACAACCGTCACAACACAACTAATTTGCCCATGGGAACGCAACAAAATTACAAAAATCAACGACTGACTCGATGATGTAAAACATCAATGGGAGAATTTTATTCTTGTTTTATATAACCTAATTTAGTGTATTTTTACGTCAAGTATTTTATATAACTAATAATATTGTATCCAATTTTACTAGTACTGCGGTTCAGTGGTGTATATATGTTAACCATGTATTTGCTTGATGATGGCTATTGATAGCCGAAACATGTAGCAGAGCCAAAACTAGGCACTGATCTTGATATTAGTTGTGTTGTGACGGTTGTAATAAAGAAGATGTACATTATTTAAATGTTAAGATCACCAAAAAGCGTGAAACACACTATAATAATAATATATCTTTTGAGAAGGTGGGGTCTCTTTTATACACAATCACAACCGAGACAGATCAACGTGTGGCCCATGTCAGCATTTTCAGCAGCATGGCCTCTGACTTCTCCAAACTTCACGATAAGAACTTCTAGGGCACGTGGCAGAATACAGATAGCGCAATATTTATCAAGTGATCCGTGCAATAAGGCGGTGCCAACATTGCGGAGGCCACTGAATAAGTAACTAAAACTCGAATAGCCAATCAGTCAACCAGATCTATGAAGGGCCGCGCCATAGCTCAAACGGTCAGTCGCTGGCTCCCCGATCCCGGGTCTGGTCAAGTGGGATTTGTGGTGGACAAAGTGGCGCTGGGGCAGGTTTTCTCCGAGTACTTCGGTTTCCCCTGCCAATCTTCATTGCACCAATTGCTCCACAATCACCCTCACCTATCATCTGGGGCTGGAGTGGCCACAGTACAAGGGACTTAGTCCCACCTCACTAGCAATAAAAAAAACAAACTAGATACGTTTCTTAGCTTCCCCTCTAAATGGCTAGCGATCTCTGATTTCTGACGATTTATTAAAATTCAAGTTAAGGCATCACAATAATTTACAGCTAAAGTACAACTTCACACAGCGGACGATATTAACACTTTAAGGACTTGTCACACTCAAAGTCAGAGTTACTTTGCGACTGGCGGGTTTATCGCTCTTACAGAAAAGTCATTACGTCTCCGGTACAAGGACCAACCGATTCATTGTGTTTAAGGAAACAGTCGCTGTTTGAGAACCATACGGAGCAGAAAGCAGACTTTTGGTGTGTTAAAGCAGACGGCAATTACAGTAACCACTGGGCTTTAAAGGGCTATCTAAACTACCGATAACAGATATTTTAAGAGAGAAATTTTATGGCAGTTCATAAACATCGCCCTGACAGTTATTTGTGCGGTGCTTGCATATATATAACATTCAGAAGCAAGCACAAAATTCTAAACAAACAGTAGAAGTCTTGTTAAATATAGAAAAATTTGAAGCATTTGTTACAACAACAAAAATGCTTCTTCCATCTCCCCCGTCTTAGTGTGCAGCAAAGGAAACCAAATGCAACCATACTATAAATTTATAGAAACAATTCTTTTGAAAATATCAGAATCTGCACAAATATCCTCTTTATAATAACAGTAACGGAAGGAATACAATCATTTCATTGGTCAAGCGGCAAATGCTGTCATTGCTTTGTTCTTCTGATTTCGTACTTGAATGAATGTATAAGGGGTGGGCCTTCTTGGCCCTTGCACCGCGACCAGTGATCTACTGTGCCTATTGATTACGTGCTTTCCGCTGCTGATTCATTAAAAACAATGGATACTCTAAGCATTACTCGTTTAACTTAAAATAAAGTTTTGAATTATTTCTTGCAGTGTATTCGAGTGTTTCGTCTGATTCTCACAGTGAACAAAAGTTGAAGATCATGGTCTCCTTAGATTCGACGCCACTTATAATCGTACAGATGTACCTACGCTTCGGAGAAACTTCATGCCTCCATCTTCAGGGCAATAGAATTGTGAAGTTACTCCGAAAACCTGTACATAGCTACCAAGCTGCACATGAATACATCTCGTAAGATACGTGATACTGATGAGCGCCCCATACCTCACCTAAAAAGAGAATATACCCTCCAAAACAGTAAACATTTGGAGACTGTTTGTGTTTTCTGTGAGGTAAAGACTGAATTTTTAAATGGTGACAGTATATTCTTCCGAAGAACTAGTGTACTGATCGGGGACGAGGGCTATGGTACAGTGATACGGAAAGTAACTGAACATATGAAGCATGTAGTTGGTAAAGCGACTGGCTACGGGCTGCATGATCGAGGGGTCGGAATTCGAGTACCAGCAGGGTCAAGAATTTTCTCACGGCTCTGGGGTCCACCCAACGTCCTATCCAGTGAGTACGGGGGCTCTTTTCCCGGGGAGTAAAGCGGCCGAGGTGTGAAGCTGACCACTAACCTCCAAATAGTGCCGAGGTAAAAAAAAGTGTGGATCTATATA